TTGCCAGCTTGGCAAGACGAACCACTGCGAGCTTGTGAGCTAGGGTAGATTGCTGTGCAACGGAGAAAGCACTCTTACTCTGGGACTTACCGCCCAGCAGATCCTCTATTCAGCTAACTACAGGAAAGGTCCTCACCGGCCTTTTCGCACACTTGCTGCGTGAACCGGCTCGCTCGCCAGCAGACGAGTGACCACCTCAGATCTTGGCTCGGTGGCCGTGTCTTGAGGTGTCGCGTAGGGAGTCTGCGGCATATTGATGTTCAGATGTATATACCCATCCTCCTGCACACACACACACACACACACACATACATGCGCACTCGGTATGTATGTGTGCATACTGCTGGCCGTGGCGCCGGCAGCCGCGCTCCGCTATTCCCCTCGGCTCTACACACACACACACGGACACACACACGTCTTGAGGATGCGTCAGCCCACCCACCCAACCGTATGTATGTATGTATTCGTCTGTGTCTCATCGCTACCTGACATGTGCCTCGCCCCAGTCCTTGACTTTCAGCTGGCGGAACTCTATCACCTGCTTCGCTCCAATGACCGCGCAGAGCTTCGCGAAATCCTCCCAACACTCCTGCTTGACCGTCTGAATCTCACTCAACACACCCGTGTGTGCGCGTTTGTTCCTCGTGCGTCACGGCACGTCACGTACGTGATCGTCTTTGTTGATGCACGCGCACAGGGCTTCCCTGTCAGGCGGGTCCCGGATGTAGACAGACTTGACAGGGTAGGGGATGTAGTCGTTAATCTTGGACGACTCCACTGCCTCGTGCATCATCTCGAATTGCTCTCCCCACTCCTCGCTATCCACGTCGCTTATCGGGCACCCCATCAGCGCACCCATTGTCAAGGCGCAGCCAAAGGCAGAAAGCGTTAGAGGAGAAGAGTCTACGAAACCCAAATTGGGATTCGACCATAGATGCGATTCCGAGGGCTCGTCAGAACAGGCTGATCTGTCGCTGAGCGATTCATGTGTCGATGACCAGTTTGTGCGGTGGCGCGCGTTGGATCTGGGCTCAGAGAGAGAGATTCGCCTGCTCCTCTCCTCGTGCGCTTCTCGTGTGTATCTGTGCGCTCTCTGTGTGTCTGTGCAGGTGACCGATCGAGTATTGGAATATTGAGGCGTTGAGCGACTGACTGACCTGAGCCGGAAGGATGATTCCTCCGCGTGCAGGGGGGAAGATGGCGGCGTTTCAGCAGCAGATGTCGCTCGTGCAGCTGCAGCTGGACCACGCCGCCAGCAGCATCACCGCCCCCAGCAGATGACGGCCGCCGCCATGGGAGCCATCGACAACGCCCACCGCTCCATCCTCCTTCAGATGAATACCGCCAAGAAGGCCACACAGCAGCCGGGTAGTGCGCCAACCGATAGACACCCAGACAGAACGACGTGCGGCCGTCTATCTGTGTGTGTGCAGGCAAAAGAAAGTGGTGCAAGCTGTGGAGGGCAAGGGATGAGGAGGAGAAGGACGAGGAGGAGGAGCTCGACGTGGAGTGGCTGCGGATGCCAAAGGATGAGGAGGAGCTCGACGTGGACGAGTGCAACGACAAAAGTGCCATTTGCCTGGTTTACGAGGGATTTATCCGCCAGCAGGACCTGACCGTTAACGGCGAGTGCATCTCTGCTGAGGAGGCGAAGAGCGTGTGCGGCGAGGCCGAAAAGGAGATCGGAGGGCAGCGCTTCTGCAAGGGCAAGGACTTCAAGAGCACCGAGGTGACAAAGATGTAGAAAGCAAAGAACGGACCTGAGGAAGGGAGGGAGGGAGGACGGGTGGATGTCAGGTGCCTGACACACTCACTCTGCCAGGGGTGAGTGTGGCCGCGGGCGTGTGTGCACCGACGGGCGGTGGAGCATTAGACTCCATTCAAATTTTAAGAGCGAGTTTTGTCCAAGTTTGTCGATCCACTAATCCGCCCGGCCGTCTACGGTGTCTGTGGGATGCGCATTGTGTGTTGGTGGATTGCCTGTCTGACTGTCTGGCATGGGTGGTGTTGGCCGCGCATACCCATGTCCACGGCCCGGCTGCAGCGTTGCATTCACACACGGATGGATGGATGGATGGACCATTCCCATTGTTTTGAACCATCAAGCGAAGCGCATCACAGGGACAGCTTGACATACATGCAGAGTTGGGCCCCTTACACACACACACACATACACCACCCACACTTGCAGAAAGTATCACACCAAATCCAGCACCACCACCACCAGCGGTGCCCTGATGAGCCAAACACACACACACACACACAGCTCGGGTCAAATCGTGTGCGCCTTTACCGCTCCAGCGCACCTGGCTTAATTTGCTGCTGCTGCTGCTGCATGAGCCTGGCATTCATTATGCGCCAGCACGGCTTTGCCCTCGGCTATCATGGATAGAAATTGATGGATGTGCCGTAGACGTGCCTTTGCCTGCATGCTCGGTGGTCATCTGTACTATTCTCTTCTCCATGTGCTCTCTCTGTCGAAGAGAAGGTTATGGCATTTGTCTCTCTGTCTAAGAGATATCAGCATGGCTGAGAGAGAGAGAGAGAGAGAGAGACAGGCAGTGCAGGGCAGTGTTGTGTCTGTGTGGGTGGGTGGGTGGGTGCGCGACTCGTAGGAGCCTGTGTCCTTGGCCACAGCTCTTTCTTCTCTCTTCATTCACTTGCGACTGCGTATGGTTTTCTTTGAATGAATCAATCAGAGACTAGGACCATGACCTGTGTGTCGCGACGATCCACGTGGCCTGTCCGTCCTTGGATAAACACGAGAGAGAGACGCCAACTCACTCACTACCAAAGTCCCCCCTGCCCTGCAATTGCCCTTGACTCAAACACACACCACACATCATCATGATGACACACATTACTGACGCACATACACACAAACGAACACACCGAAAAAGGGAGCAACCGCCTACCACCAGCTAGCTATCCACCCATCCACCCACCGATGCACACCCCCGCCCCCTCCCAGGGCCGCCGTATCGTATCTCTAGCCATCCAGCCAGCACAGCCCATACCAACAGATGATGGCCACCACAGCCCACCTTAAAAAGGCACCCGCCCTTCCGCACCCAGCAGCAGCCGTTGAGCTGTCGGGCGGAGTCGTAGTCGGGAAGAGCTGTGTCGATGCTCTGGGGCCGAGCATCATCATGGCGTCACCTGATGAGCCATTGTTGCCGTTGAGGACGGTGAGCCGCTGGGGCAGCCCGTCGGCCGCCCGGTAGGCGTCATAGCCCTCGGTCTCGTTGTCGACGCAGATTCTGTCCAGCTGCCAAGCAAGCCCGCACAGACAGATACATAGATGGATTGGTGTTGGCAGTACATGAAGAGGCAGCTGGCTTACTGTGAGGGGGATGTTAGGTTGCAGTGCTCGCCGCCGTCTCGCCTCCATGAAGATGAGCTCCTGAGTGAGCAAAGGAAGGAACCAAGCAATGAAATGACACCATCCATCCATCCATCCACCCCTCCGTCCCTCCCTTAGCGAAACTGGCTGACCTGTACGCTGTCAGCGTCGGGCATGACGCCAATGATCCTCTCGACTTGCGAGTCGAAGTCCTCCTCGACGAGCGCGCCCTCCTCCTCTGCCGGATCGGGCTCGTCCAGCCGCGCGAAAATGGCACGCCGGAACTCATCCTTGGTCATCTTGTTGTCTGAACGACCCGACCGGCACACGGCGGGCGTGCGCCTTGGGTGGGTACGCCGCCTTGAGTGACTTACCCGAGTTGCCCTTGAAGTCCTCGATGAACGAGTATGTGGCGTACATGGCCGCAATCGCGTTGCTCCAAGAACTGACAGGCAGGCAGGCAGGCAGGCCGGTCACACACACACACAGAGTGGCTTAGCACATGAAGCTGCAGCTCACGAGTTGCGGAAGTCGCGTTCGTCGGCCAGCAGCCTGTCGCAGTCACCCTGAAGGGCATAAATGGGTCACCGATTCATGCACGGCCCTACCCCTCTCTCTGTGTGGGTGGTGCCTGCCTCTTTGCCTCCATCACCTTGGCCACTTTGAGGACCACCTCGCCCGTGCGGTTGCTGGTCGTCACGAACCGGCTCGCGTCGGGGTCGCACGCCAGGCAATACAGACCCAGGTTGTACTTCTCCACTGATGAAACGATCAACACACACACACACACACACACCTCGGTGTAGCCCTGGGGAGGGGTTCTGGGGTTCTGTGTCTGTGTGTCCTATCTCTCCCTCACGGTCTGCGAGGATGGTGTCGAAGGCATCGTCGACTTGAGGGAGAGAGGCGTTCAGCTGCTTGCCAAGACCCAGCTCTGACACGCACAACACGCACGCACCCACTGGCCGTGTGTGACCCACGTCCATCGACCTGTGCCACTCACTCGCTCACTCACTGCCTGACCTTTCCGCTTTTCGTCCCACTTTTTGAGCTCATTTTGGACGGCCTCCTTTGCCCCACTGGCGTCGACCTCGAGGCCGAACCAGTCCCGGGCGATGTTCTCCAGACTTTCGCCCGCACTCCCAGCCATCTCCTGCACACACACATACACATACCCACATTGAGGATGACAATGCCTCCATGCACTCCGACGGCTCACAGCGGCGGCGTCGATGTAGTCGTCGAGCGGGAAGGTGTCAAGCACATTGGCGATCTCCTCCCACCTCGACCGAATCTGGGCCGTGTAATTCTCACTGAACGTATTGACAGACACACACACAGAGGCACCCTGACGCCTGAACTGCCAAAGACCGCCTTTCCTTTTGCAGCCACCCACCGTCTTTCGATGTCCTCCTGGTGCATCTCCTCTATCCGCAGAAAGCCCTTGCCCGTGCAGCAGGACGGCTCGTCCACAAACTGGCGGCACACAGGGAGCGACTCCGCGGACGAGCTGGGCAGTTTGGCTGGCGTGTCATGGAAGAAGGCCGTCACGTCACGGGTTCGGAAGACGTTCTCGGCCACCAGGGTGCTGACACGTGACACGTCATGACACAGAAGCAGAGATGGATGAATGCCATGAGTCAGAAGTGCTGCTGGATGCCCACCTGCAGTCTGCCCATGTCTGCGTGAGAACGGAAAGCACCAGGAGGATGATCAGCTCGAGATTCCTGTTCATCGTTAAGGCTTTTGTTTCTCCGCAGATCTGACGCCAAGCTCGCAGATGCCACGAAGCTCGCAATTGCTTGACACAAGCACGGCCGATGAAGCGCCTTCTTGACCCGCGTGAAGCAGCGTCCCTGACGAAAATTGCACGGGACCGCCGCGAAAGGGAGCTCATGCCGCCGCCGGACCTTCCTTCTCAATTCGCCCCCGGTATGCTCTGTGCTTGTATCAAACACACACCACACAAGGGTTTCTTCACAATTTGTGTGTTCTCAGGCCTCAAGAAGGGACCAGACGATGCCGTGAGCGGACAGCAGCGCTCGTCAGCGGCGCGTAGTGCATCCGATGGGCTCGCTGATGAGCAGCCGGCAGCACAACAGGCTGATCACTCTGCCCCAGACGCCCTAGTCAAGTCCTTTATGTCTGAGATTGACAGCATGCTAGAGGCGCCCACTGCCGGTGCTGGTGATCGGCAGGGCCATCCGTCCAATGCCTCCCCGCCACCATCCGACGCAACCACGCCCACGCCCACGGCCACGGCCGTGTGGCAGGAGGTGCTTGACCCGAAGACCAAGCACATCTATTATTGGAACGTCCAGACGGGCGAGGTCTCGTGGACACGGCCACCTGATATGAATGGCGGCAAGGCGACCGTCCCCAATGCACATGCACCCCCTTCAAGCGTGAGAGTGACATCGCCGGTAGATGCTGCCGTTGGTGGCGAGGCGTCGGCGGGAACTGCCAAGACAGTGGACGAGAAGCTGCAGGCCTTTATGAGGGAGATCGAGCTCATCGGGGAGGCTTGCGACCAGGAGGACATCGACACCGCGGAACCTCCCACCAGCACTCAGGAAAGCCGAATGGACGCTGCAAGTGTCCCTGCTGCTAGTGCCGCTGCTGGTGCTGGCCAAGAGGCCGAGAAGCCACTGGAGGACAGAGGCGAGGATCGGCAGGCAGGGAGGAGCAGGGGCGGGGGGAGTGCGGCTTTGGAGAAGGAGGCGCGTGCGATGCTGGCTGATGTGCGGGAGCGGGTCGGCCTACTGCAAGTGGAGGGGACGGCCATGCTCATCACCAAGAGAAGAATCACGACCGAACTCGGCACCAGAAAGGTCAGCCAGCCGGGATCCATGCCATGAATGCATCTGTGTGCAGTGCAATATATTGGTGTGTGAATGTAATGGGTGTGTGTTCAGACGGACTGGGAGGCTGGCGAGCTGTCAAGCGCCTACTTCCTCAAGAAACTGCATGAGACGGCCGATGCCATCAAGGTGGGTGGATGATCAATCTTCTAACACACAGAAGCATCCATGGACATGGACTGACGTATGTGTGTGTGTGTATGTGTGCAGGAGCTGTTGTACGAGCAGGAGAATGCGCCCAAGGCCGACGGCGTGACCATCCAGGCGGCTCCCAAACCACCGCAGTCCCGGAGAGAGCGGGCCAGGCGGGGCTCTGCTGCTGCTGCTGCTGCTGCGTCTTCCGAGTATAGACAGGATTGGGGCGCGTACGGCGGCGGATATGACGCATACGACTACGGCTACTATGCTGCAATGGTGAGTGAGCTGCCCAGCGATGGAAAGGATGCCTGATTGATGCGTGTGTGTGTGTGCGTGTGGTTTGTGTGACTGCAGGCCGACCCGGCGGCCTATGCGTATGCCAATGGTCAGTCATAGCAGCAGCAGACAGACAGACAGACAGACGGACAGACAGACACACGAACATCCCTGTGTGTGTCTTGTGACCTTTTTCTTCAGTCGGCATGGCCGCGATGCCCTACGCTTACGCCATGGTCGCCTCCACAGACATGGTGCCTCAATCCGATTCGGCCACTTCGACCGCACCATCCACACGAGACGCAACAGCAAATGCAGCTGAATCAGGTACACACCCACAACCCTCGCCGCACCGCTGTGTCGTGTCGATTGGCCGCATTTTGTGCCCACCTTTGTGCAGGTCCGGTGGTCAATAGTCGGCGCTCGCCAGAGGCGCAGGAGCCACCTGTGGCTGCCGACAGGGCTGAGGAGCTGGTGGCTGCGGCCGCACTAGGTAGCCATGGAAGGCAGGAAAGGAGCAAGCGTGGATGCTGTTGGAGGGAGGGAGGTTGGGGGGACTGGCGGGGGGGTGTGGGTATGTTCTGCCGGCCGCTGCGATGTGACGGATGGCCGGCCGATCGCTGGGGAGCTCTTGCTCGTGTGCGTGTCGTGTACGTGTACGTGTGTGCCTTGACGCATTCAATCATCCGTCCGCCCACTGACATGACAGGCACCACGAGCCAGCGAGAGACAGTGACAGTGACCTTGATAGGTTGCTGCCTGAATGAATGAATGCACGTGTGCTGCACCACCTGACATCTCATTGGGGTGTCCGTGTGTGGCTCTCTCGTATGGTGTGTGTCTGGCCTGCAGGTGGTGGTGAGCATGCATCTTCGTCTGGTGGGAAGAAGCGGAAGGCAGCCGCCCCGCCGATCGGCCTCGGACACCGCAAACAGGTCAGATGGCGAGAACCACGTATGGGCTGATTCAAATCCTCTCGACCTTGTTTGGGTGGTTTGGTTGCTGCGCAGCTGCAGCTGATCGGCAAGTGGCAAAGAACAGCCGACAAGGCTGCCGAGGTACCACTCACACCACACGCCTATCTAGCAGTCGATGTGCGTGTGTACCTGATGTTGCGTGCAGGAAGAGGCCTCCGAGTGGGCGGAGCAAGAGCGGGCCGAGGTGGCCAAGGAAGCGGACAGAATCGACCGGTGGAAGGAGCGACAGCTGGCCAGGTCAGCCTGCATGCCCATCTATACGTCCGTGCCCTCCCTCCCTCCCTCCCACAGTGGGCCAACTGGCACTCACACATATGAGTACATGTATACCACACACACACACCCGCGTGTGTCGTCCCTGTGATAATGCAATGCATCATCGGTGCGGTGAGAGGCAGTCCAGGGCAGGGCAGCACATGCAGAGCCATCCATGGACGACCCACACGCCCACCCACCCACCCATCGCCCGTCCTCATTGCGCCTCTCTGTGTGTCATCCATTTGTGTGTGTGCTGCAGCGGCGCGGCCAAGTCGAATCCGAACTTTATGCCACTGGGAGAGCGCTCCAAGGACGGCGGGCAGAAGGGACAAGACTGGTATGCGAGTGTTTTGACACACACGGATCTCACAGTGTCCTTCGCGTGATTGCTGCTTTGTCCGTCACATGCGACAGGCGTCAGAGAGCCCGGTCGGGGCGGTCAAAGGGCGGCGGCAATGCAGGGTGACCGTCGGACATATCTGATGGACGCGACGGCATGGACAAGCGTCAAGCGTGCAATTAAGCTGATGGATGAGTGGATGGGATGATCCAAAATGTCACAATGTTCGGTTGACTACACGTAGACTACGTACTCATTCATCGTCTGCTATGAGAGTATCGTGCATAGCCAATGAGAAAAACGTCGAGAAGAAAGGCCGTCGAGACGGAGACAGAACACTCAAATTTACCAGCCCTCTTTATGCATTTATGTTTTCGGCGACTTCCCGGGCCTGCTGCGAGTCGCCCAAGAGCCCTGTTGTCCGACACATCCTGTCCCTACTGCGAGAAGTATTCAACATACCCCATCTGAGCGCACGGCTGCAATACGAGGTCCTGCACGTGTTTCGCCACCTGGACATCGAGGTCAACGACGTCAGCTGCAATCATGGGCCTTCACTTTTGGCGCGCTTGATGGCACCGCCGCCTGTGGGTCAGAATGACGATCTCAAGGCAGGAACCGTTCAATTGGAACCGTTCGCATGGATCCGACGATCATGAAGCGACGAGGGCAAGGGCTGCGTGCAGACATAGACCGACGTCATTGATGGGCGTGTATCGCTCGGTGGGGTGGGTGTAAGGACGATTTGTCTGTGTGTTTCTGTTGTGTTGTGTTGTGTTGTGTTGTGTGTGCAGCCGAAGAGACAGCCACTCTCCCCTCAACAGATAGCAAAAGCGGACTGGACTGTCGAGGAAATGGGGTGAGTGGCAACGAATATTTTCTTTGTCGTTGTTGCGGGCCTTGCTTTCAGGGGGACGAGTATGCCAATGTCGAGACGTGGGAGCACTACCTGGCTGCTGCTGAAGACGAGTTTGAAGACGAGACGGTGAGATAGATGTGACAGACAAAGTCGGAGAGCGGACGAACTTTGGGTTCTTGTGCAGGTCGGTCAGCATGCATCACATCCACTCCCTGCACCCCAGCCGGCCACCACCTTCACGCCGCATCCAGTGGAGCCGCTGCCGAGGACTGTCGCGCCGCGCCCGGCGTCCTCCTATTCCCGACGCCCATCATCGGCAGCCACACCACAACACAGCGACCACATTTCTCGGCAAGAATTTCGATTTTGATCTCGACGACGCACCTCAGGAGCCAGATCTCCAGCGCATTGCAGGACAAATACAGGACGATCTGGGCCAGAAGCTCCGTCGAGAGCTGGGCACTGAGCTGAAGATCGACGCCGGGCGCATCACCGTCAGCCGCGAGGACTACCTCGAGAGGGGGTCAACTGAGGACGACCGGGTGCCCATACAGCTGAATGGTACGTACAAGGGAGAGGTCGCGCATCTGGCATCTATTGTGTGTGCTTTGCAATCAGCACCAGCGTGCGATGTTCCATCGGCGGGGCAGGCGTCGACTGACGACGGCTCACCGACAGGTAACCGGTATCGGGTCGGCTCCCAACGATTCTTCCTCTGTTTCCCCTTTTCTGCTGCTGTCTGTCAGCCAATGCACCGCTGCTGGGGGCTGGCGGGGGGGGGCGGGGGCGCCTGGCGGGAGGGGCCCGCCTGGTGGGGTGCTGCACCACCCCCGGGTCATGTGGGCGTTCACTAATTTCGTCACGTGCATGAAAGTACGTCATCCTGGGCGTCCTTTCGGTGCTGATGGAGAGCGTGGAGTTTCAGTGTGTCACGCGTCCGATATCCGAGGTTTTTCCTTTCCTGGGAACGTCACATGTCAACGCAAGATTGCCAGGTAGGCGAGCAAGCAGGCAGGGGGAGGAGGGAAAGACCTTGACTGACTGGTCGGCAACCTTTCTTCCTACAGGTGGCTGCACATCCACATCCACAGCCGACCTGCTGCCAGCGCACCTTTGCCTCCCTGTGTGCATGGTGGAGGAGCTGACCGGCTGCCGTTTCGCCTGGCTCTCGTATCACACTGATGGGGCCTGGATTGGTGGTCGAGGAGACATGTCATTGAAGGGAGGGGGGCGGGTGGGAGGGGCTGGGAGGGAGGGAGGGAGAGAAGAGTTCCACCACATGTAGTTACAGGCAGTGACTTAGTGCTTGACTGCTCGTTGGGCTATTTGCTGTGGGATTTGTGACTTGTATGAGTCCGTGAGCACCAGTTCATCTGGCGAGGATCACGCATACGGGCTGGGCTGGCTGTCTTCCCTGCCTGCACCAGTATTGCCTCTCGCTCTTCTTCTTTCTTTTCCTCTAGCCAACACACACACACACGACGGCCTGGTGTATGCGGCATACGAGCACCCTCTTCTGTATAGGAGCACCCTCTTCATCTGTGGCTGTCAGAGGCATACATGGGTGACACAGTGCATGGGTGTCCTTTCTTTTATGCAGGCTTTGTGGCGATGGTTGAGGATGCCGTGCGTTACGTGCGGACACGCGTAAGACTCACTGCACGAGGACACACGTAAGACCTCTGTTGACGTTTCTTGCTCTTCAGGGTGCACCGCAGACTCCGCCGCCATCGTGTTCTTTTCGCTGCTGGGGGTCATCTTCTTGCCGCTGCTGCTGTTCGTGCCGTTCATCTCGGAGTACCGCAACTCAAACAAGAACGGGTGGGCTGCCGTGGGGGACGCGCTCGTCGACGGCGTGAAGTATATCACATACGAGCACCCGGCCGAGTTCCTCATCTGCTCGCCCTTCTCATCGTGTCCGTTGCCGTCTTGCGCAACTACTGGAAATCAGACAATGACCGCAACCAGCGCACCCCAGTGGCCACCGAGGAGCAAGAGCTGTCTGCCGGTAGGGGTGGGCGAGAACATCCAGTACGCCCACAAAAACGACACGCAGTGAAGAATTTGAGATGCCGCGAAATGGAGTTCCGTGGGTCGACGTACTGTGAGGGTCAACGGGGGTGCCGCACAGAAGGCTATCAAAGAAAGCACCACACAGGTGAATCACGCACAGACACACACCCCAATCGCCCAACTTGCCCACACACACACACACACATACACACACACTTCTCCGCGTACGTATTGTGTTTTTCAGGATCTGAAGGTGACCCGTCGCTCCACTGCCCACGCCTCGCTCATGAAGAAGCGCCGCAACAACATCAGCTGCAGGAAGAGGAAGGAGGGCCACGCCAACCTCGCCCCCATCGTAGTGGGCTACGGCGCTCCCAACACCGACCTGGGACTGCCCTTCAACCCGGCCGTCTACCAGACACGGCTGAACACGTCTGTGGGAAGACTCGCCACCCGTCAGCTGCGGATGAAGGCGGGCAAGAAGGCGGCCGCCACCAAACGCCGCTTTCCAAGGCAAGCATACCGCGTGGTCGCAGAGCTCCGAGAGGGCGGCCATGCGGTGGACATTCAGTGAGAGGGTTGCAGTGCAGAGACTAGCAAGGCAGGCAGTGTGTGATTAATGGCGAGGGCGAGGGCGGGTGCGTGTCCTTGCATGTGATATGCATCGTTGCCTACATCTTATATTCTTGTGTGTGTGTGTGCCTCATTTCCCCGTTCACCCTGGCGTTTGATGGATTGAGAGAGGGAGAGACATCCACGCTTTGACTGACGTGTGTGAAGGGACTATGTCCCTTATCACCGTGCACCATACACACACACACACACGGCAGAGCCACATAACACACTGATCGATCAATCGACGTCCAAATAAATGGGAACGGACGAAGAACCGAGCCACGACAATACAACAGACGCCCCTCGCGTCACTCAGTTGCCGTGGCCGTCTCTGCTGGAGGCAACATCCCCGGCCAGCTCCTGAATGTGATCACCCATTCACCCTTGTGAGTGCCTCTCGTGTGCGCGCGTGTGTGTGTACCTGATTCGGTCTCTGAGTGCGGCCAGCCGCTGGGTGTGTGCGGCCGACAGCCGCTGCGGCCCGCCCATCTGGCCGCCACCAAACACCTTAGGCGCCCGCTGCTGTTGCTGCTGCTGGGCCAGCTGCATGTCGATGCACTCATTCAGGGAGGCCTCTGCCTCGGTGGCGAATGCTGACACACCCACGCGCACACGCGCAGTGTACAAGTGTGTGTGTCTGTGGTGTGTGGATGAGGGGAGGGGGGAGGGTTACCGCGGAGCTGCTGGTTGAATGGCCTTATGGTTCGGGCGACACTGAGGAGGGAGGGCGTGATGGCGTCGATGAGTTGCAGGAACAGCAGACAGAAACCCTCAACTGCACAACACACACACACACACACACGCGTGCGTGCGTGTAGACGTCTCTCTCTCTCTGTGTGTGTGCGTGTGCGTCGATGTCAATCTCACTTTCGTGTGCGTGTTTGACGAGTATCTGGAACATGGTCACCAGAGAGAGGGCGGCCTGCAGCGGGCTGCTGGTGGGGGCCTCACCGAGCCTATTGGAAGCCGCCACACACATCGACATGGTCTCTGTCTGCCTGTCTGTCTGTCTGCTGGCTCACTGTTCCTTGATGGGGTAGTGCCTGCAAACCTCCAGCACCACTCGGGCAAAGTACACGGCCATGTCGTTGGTGCCAACACCACCACCAGCCTGTGTGGCTCTCGCCGCGGCGTTCTGCATGGCCTTGTTGATGTGCTCGAGAAGGAAGGGCAGCAGTGGGAGCACCTCGGGCACACAGCGGCAGAAAGGGCCCAGCCACGCTGTTGGGATTGCACCCTGCACACACACACACGCGCACACACACACAGCGCATCGTTTGTCTGGTGTGCGGCCTCACTCTGCCCCCACATACTAGCACTAGCACTTGCCCGCTCGAGCAGCGCCCAGGGCAGGTCAGGCAGCCGCACAGACGACGCCCGGACGAAGCCCCCCACACAATCCTGCACACACACACACACACACACACCCCTTCCTCCCTCTCCAGCCCATGACTGCCATCTGGCTGACCTCCAATTCCCTGGTGTTGCCTGCCTCCCGACACACGCCGATCATGTGTTGGATGACGCCCACAGCTTGCGCGTAGGCCGCCTGCTGCGCGTGTGCGGCCGCGTCGTGCGTGGGCAGGGGTGCGGGGGATACCGGGGGCGTGGTCGAGGGGCTCGACAGGAGGGTGCCTGTGAGCGCTTGAAGCACACACGGCAGCACACTGAGGGAGACAGACACAAAGAGAGAGAGAGAGAGCCGACACAATCAACGCAACTGTTCCACGAGGGAAGGTCTCTCTCTCTCTCTCTGCGTGTGTGCCTGTGTTACTTGGTGGTCAAGAGCCGACAAAGATATGGCCGTGGCAGCTCCGCAACGAGCCGGGAGGGGTTCTCGACTGCCGCCGGGTAGTGGCTAGTGTTGGGGTCGTCGTGTATTGTCTCAGGCAGCTGCTCAGCCGGCCCATCTGGCTGATACACGAGCGTCATGAGCGTCATGCTCGTGCGCCGGACACACAGGAGAGCCTCGGCAGAGAAGACGTCGCGCCACGCGCCGAGGGCCCTCTGTGCAGCAGCGTCTGGCGACGGTGGTGGGAGGGGGCCGGTCTTATCTACATCGGCGAGCATCCTGACACACACGTCGCTTCCACGAGCTCCTGTATCGTACGCCTGTTTGGTCAACTGACATACGCTTTGACGGCTTCGTGTACAGTGGCATCCATGGCGCGAGCACAGCTGCTGGTGTCCTTTCTGTCGTGGTGGACACGTGGGTTGATCGGCGTGCAGAAGAGCTCGGGGCAGACCTCTCGGAGGGCCTTCATCAGGGGGGCGAAGACACACTCCAGCAGAAAGGGGCTGCATTCGCACCGCATCGCATCGCAAGCAAGGAAAAGGTGTGCTGGCGGTGATGGTGGTGGTGGCGCTGCTGGTGGTGGTTTGGTTACTCGTGTGCGGCTGCTCTTAGAGCAGACATCCATGGGACACTGTGCAGCAGGTGGATCAACGACACACCGGAGCCACCTGCACACACATCATCCACTCTGTCTCTGTCTCTCTCTTTCTCTTCACACCCCCCACACAGAGGCGCTCACTGACTGTATCTGTTGGTCGCGTGCATGCTTGCCGCCATCAGGGCCACATGACACACCGCTCTAGTGTCCCCACCACCGCCTCCACCCCACACATGACTCCTCAAGACATCCAACACACACGGCACCTCCTAAACACACACACACACACACACACACAGAGAGAGAGAGAGAGAGATCGATCCACTACAAACCCACACCCACCGTCGCCCACCCACCAGTGGCGCAGGAAGCTCCCCTTCATAGAGCTCCGCCGTCCGGCACATCCGCTCCACCCCCACAACGCCCCAAGTACACCACACCGGCACAAACCTAGGTGGCCCGGAAGACGATGCTCTCGGGAGGGAGGAGAAAAGCCCCATGAGCTTGGCGTAGATGACGGGCGTGTGGGCGTCGGCGTGTTGGTGTTGGTCGCCGTCAGCCGTCTGCAGGAAGTAGTTGCACAGCATCGTGAGAAGGGTCTTGGTGGGGGCGGGGGGGAGGGGGAGAGACCCCAGAGAGGCCGGGAGAGTGGGGAAAGCCTCGACCTGCGTCACACACAAGGGCACAGGCAACTCCCACCAACCGGTGGCTGGACAGATAGCGGTTTCCTCCGTGGCTACCAGCTGGGTTAGTGCCGTTTCTGCGTCGAGAAATGATGCACTGCACTCCTGAACGAATCACACCTGAGTGAATGCCTGGATCGACCAACAAGCCTGATGTACACTGACTGACTCACCCCTTCAGTGGTCGCCGTGACGCCCCGCCGCACGCCCCTCTTGACCATCTCGACCGCCGCAGCCCGCCCATGGTGGTCGTCAACCATCGGCAGCAGGCCCTCTCCCAAGACACGGGCACACACATCCACCACCTGATTAAACACACACACATGGATGGATGGATGGATGCGTGTGGGGTGGTTGGTAGTGCGCCGTACGTCACTCGTGCAGCCGTGGTGGTGGAAGAGGGAGAGCAGCGCCAGCAGCAGGCCCGCCTGGCCGCCGCTGCCGGAGCCGAGAGACTCAGCCGTGACGCCGCCACACCTCTTGAAGGCCTCCATCCCACACGCCTCGGCCACCACTACCAACACACCCTACACACACACACACACACAGAGAGAGAGAGAGAGAGAACCTTACACTAGCCCTGCCAACCCCACTTACCATCGCACGGCTGCTTTCCACCATTCCTTTATCGAACATCTCGACCACAGCTGATGCATCGGGAGCCTTGGTGGGTGTGGGGGAGGAAGGGGGGCGCAGCAGCGAGGTTTGGGCCAGGGAGGGGATCTCACCACTGCAGCAGCAGAGATACAGCAGGATGCCCAGGCGAAGACGGACCACCGACGAGCCTGGCATGGTGCGCAGGCTGGTGATTGACGAGCGGAAGTCGCAGTAGCGGCCCAGGTCCTCCAGCTTGATCACCTGCAGCCACACACAGCACACAGCCACACACAGACCTGTCCGCTTCGCGCGCGTGTGTGGCGCGGCGCACCCACCCCCCACTCATTTACTCACCGGTGGCTCGTTCGCCATGGCGGCCAGCAGCCCTTCGCACGAGTCGTACAGCCCCACCATCAGGGCGCACACTGCACACACACGCGGCAGGCCGGCACAGGTGAATGCGCGACAGGATGATCGATGGCCTTGCTGGCCTAATCTGACCTCTCGGCTGTGCGTGCATGTGGGCCTCGCAGCGGCGGCGCGTTCGCTCAGTGCCCTCGGGGTAGAGGCGCGACACTGCCACCACGACAGACTGCGCGAAGGCTGGCAGACGGAGAGAGAGAGAGAGAGATGGTTCATCTGCGTACCTGTGTGTGTGTGTGTGTGTGTGTCTGTGTCTGTTGTGTGTGTGCCTTACGCACCGGTGAATGCCGTCTCGTCGTGTGTGGTCAAGAGCTTGCAGAGCTCATCCACCACCCACACCTGCAGCTGCACACACACATCCATCGAAGGGACAAAACAAACACGTCCACCCTCCCCCCCCTCCCTCACTCCCACCCTCCCACCCAGATCCTCACCTCTTCAATGGCCCCCACACAGTTGGCCAGCACCCCCACCACACAGTACCCCTCCCACAGCCGCTCACCCCCACTCCCAGCCCCGCGGCTCTGCTCATAGTCGATCTCCAGCAGACACCGCACCACCGCACTGTACCCAACAAGCTCAAGCAGCGCCGCTGAGCCACTGCTGTCAGGCAGCAAAAGGTAGCCCACTATGGTCTGCACGAGCCTTCGGTCCCGCCACTTGCTGATGGCTGGCGGGGGCAGCTGTGGCGAGGGGGGAGGGGAGGCCGGTGTGCGGGGGCTGGGCGGCGCACGGTGGGTGGCCTGGGCGTGGTAGAACAGCTCGAACAGCTCCTCCAGAAGGTCGGAGGCGCACATCTGCTGAGAGCCGAGGCAATGCACCAATGGCGATGGGTGTGGTACTCACCGTGCGCATGTCAACGTCATGGTCGTTGTCCCTGATGATGACATTGTCGCCCTCCAGCTCGTTGCGGAACCGCTCAAGTGTCGACCGGAGGTCGAGGGCAGCCAGGCCGCGCAGCAGCGACACCTGCGTCATAATACCCAACACAGTAGAGGGAGAGATATAGATATCACAAACGAGCTGCTGCGGGTCTGCTCACGAGTTTTGCGTCGCATTTCTGCAGGAGCAGCTGCTGGATGCCCCCTCTCTGGTGTGCGAGGGCCTCATCCCTGTCGTGTTTGGATGTGTCCTCCCATAGAATCAATGACGAGGCAGTAAAGACAAAAGGCAGGAAGACCTTCACTGCCTCGGCGCATCCCTCTCCCTCCTGCATGCCGCACAACACAACACAGCACAGCGCGAGAAGTGCTTAGATCTACCTCCAGCCGCCTTTGAGTCATGAGTGGACTTGGCTGATCTCACCTGTGTTGACAGTGTTTCGATTCCATCGACTTCGCCTGACCTCAGCTGAGCAGCAGTGCCCGCCAGAAGACGCCAGCGCCCCTCCATCTCCATCTCCTCAGGCCTTCTTTGCGCGAGCTAAGCCAAACCCTGCAACCCCTTGACCCTTTGTGGTGCAGGGTTTCAGCGGTTTTAGGCAGCACCCTAGGCATTAGGGTTTACTGTAGGGCACTGATTCCACTGACCCGACGGGGGACCGCCTGCTTCCACTCTTTGATATCCAACTTCGCACAGATCTGACGAGGCGAAGCCGTGGCGTGAGAATGGCATCGTCTGGAGGGCTCAGCAACCTGTACCTTGTCAAATGGAAGTCAGCAAAGCATCCATCGCCTTCACTCCTCACTCTCCTGCGCGCAAAGGTCAGTCAGCACACCGAGCGCATTTGAGCAGAGAGGCTCTCTTGAAATGTGTGTGTGACTGTGACTGTGTCTGTGGGTGTTTGTGTGTGGTGTGTGGTGTGTGGTGCAGTCGCCGTCTGACCTGCGGATGCGGATCCCTCGCGAGTTTGACTATGCCGGCGACCACATAGAGTTCCAGGAATACAACGGGCCTCTCGCCCTGCACTTCGACGTATGACATGACATTAGGGCGCACTGACTGACCACACACCGTGACTGACACACGCGCGCCCCTTCTGTGTGCTGTGCTGTGCTGTTTGTTAGGTCGAGTCGCCCCTCGACAAGCACCCCGACTTCAGCATCGACATGCGGCCGTCGTCCTTGGCCCACGACATCGCCTTGCTCTTCAACGACCCCACCACGAGCGACTACACCTTCTCCGTCGAGGGCCGCCGCATCTACGTCCACAAAGCCGTCATCTCGGCGCGATGCGACACACTCAAGCGGCAGATCTTCTCGGGCGGCAGCAAAACCACAGCCGGCAAGGGCACAGTGGTGGGCGACTGCTCGTACAGCGTGTTCTACCAGTTTCTGAGGTACCTCTACTACGACGACGTCGAGCCCTTTGAGTGGGACCTGCCGTGCATCCTCGGCGACCAGACAGCGACAGGGACAGGCGGCGAGGGGGGCGGTGGAAGCGAGGCTCTGGAGCACTACGTGTGCCTGCACACGCTGGCGGGGGTGTACGGGCTGAAGAGATTGCGGGAGCGGGTCGAGCAGCGGATGTGGGACATGATCAAGGTCTTCATCGCCAAGTGGTGCCAGATCGACCTGGGGAGCCTGGGAATGGGCGTGAGCAAGGGCATGGCCAGCGGACTCGACAAGGCGGCCAGGCGGACCCGCAAGGGCACACGAGCTGCCGACGGCAGGGCTGACGCGGCACAGATGGCCGTCGAGGTGAGTGAGGCCTCGACGCCCACGTGCATCAACACCCATCCATTTCGTGTGTGCGTTGTGTCCTGCCGTGTGCAGATTGACGAGGCCTCGTCTATGCCTCCCCCACCCCCTTTGTTCGATGACCCACCCACGGCAGTAGAGGCAACAGCCGCACCCAAGACAGACCCAGCACTAGCACCATCACCAGCACCAGCACCAGCGCATTCGGTTGGCCTGGTGGTCAATGTCGGTCGCGGCATCGCTCTCAAGCGGCGGAGGCGGCACATGGTGGAGCTGATCGAGGCGCTGCTGGGGTACTGCTCGTTCGCAAAGGCGTTTGAGCTCAAGGGGCTGCTCCTCTGCTGCCTCGCGCTCAACGAATCGGTGGGTGGAATATGGGTGGGGGGGAGGGGTGTGGATCATGTGTGTGTGTGTGTGTGTAGTTGTGGGAGTGGGTGTCGCCTTCGGTCAAGAGCGAGGCCGCCCAGGTCATCGGCGACAGCCCCGGCTACCTCAGGCTGCCCGATCCCATCGTCAGATACGTCTACCCGTAAGCAGCTGCACACACACACACTCACACACAGGGCACACACACTCACACACATAACTCCCCGCTACTCCACTCCACTGCATTCGATTCGCGTGCTCTCATGTGGCTGCTCACATTTCTGTGTATCAGTGGCCACAAGGGCGGCTCGCCATGGGAGTCCATCGAGCTCAAGTATGTCTGTGCTCCTTTCTCTCTGATGTTCGGCCCACTGTCTGTCTGTCTACAGAATGGTCGACACAAAGCCCCACTTGTCAGGCGGCACTGCGGCACCCTGCGGCACAACCAGCAAGGATGCCGCAGGTGGCCGGGGCGAGAGCTCCTCCATGAAGGAGCACTTCGTCAAGTTTCTATATCCCCGATTCTTCCGCACCCTCAAGAAGCACCGCGATCTCGCCATCCAGGCACAGCAACAAGACCACCGGCAAAGAGGCCGCCGCGTCAAGTCCGCCGACGACTCGCGCAGCGACCCGTCGCAGTCGGGCGGCTCGGGCGGCTCCCTGGGCGACTGTGAGGTGTCGGATGAGTCAAGCGGGACATCGCCCCCCTCTATGCCGTCTGACGAGCCACAGCAGACACAGGTGCAGACGGCCGTGGCAGGGGGCGGTGATGTGTCGACGAATGACACCACACAGGATGGGGCGAGCAGCAAGGGGGGGACGGGGAGTGCGAGTGCGAGCGGGGTGGAGGGGGAGGGGGGAGGCAAGAGGGCTGCGGCAAACAGGGGGACGAAACGGTCAGCACTCACTCACTCACAGGGAATGCTGTTTGACAGGTCAACCTATGAGTCATCTTTGACGTCTGTGTGTGCTTGTGTGCGTGTTTCATCAGGGTGATGGTGTGGGAGGCCCTCGAGCAAGACCTGAAGCGCGCCCGCCATCAGGACGAGGCAGCCCTCGCGGCAGCACCACAACCACCATCACAACCACAACCCCCAGCACCAGCAACAGCATCAGCAGCAGCAGCAGCGGATCAGCCCCCCCAGCCGATGGACGTCGATGCACCGCCGTCTATCCAAGTGACGCCCCCGCCACCACACGGCCAGGACCACTTCCCAGTGCCGCCGTTGCCACCGGCTCTTGTGCAGGCCAACGATAAGAAGGGATGAGGGACGAGGGAGGGAGGGATTTGAGGAATTTTTGCCTCTTGTTGGCTGGGTGAAATGTTGTCCGTCCTAGCGAGTGTGATTGTGTCTGCGTGGGGTGGGGGGGGGGGATTTTTCCTGTTGTGATACTTACCTGGATGTCTGTGTGGTGGTGTCTATCGAACGATGAGTTGACCCACTCACTTGGTTCATGTCGTATGTGTCTCTGTAAGTTCTCTCTCTCATCCAAAGAGTTCCAGAAACGCCACAAAAAGCGTTGAAGCATTGGAGAGAGGAAAGAAGATCTCCTCCCCTGGCTGGCAGAGCAGCCTTGCCTCAGCAGAGCCTTTGCAACTATCGTGCAGGCAGCCACATCCACATCCACACACACACACACACGCCTGATGGCAATCTCGCCAGCTAACCAATGAAAAAAGCCCGGCAAGCCCACACCCTCCACCCACTTCCTACCCATCCCACCGCTCACAGGAACCACAGCTGCCTCGACAGCCTCTCGGACGGGCAGCGATTGTTCAACGCCTCAGTCACCTTGCGAGCGCACCTGCAGGCACCAGAGACACCAAACCACAGCGCGCAATGAGGCAAAACACCTGTGATGTCCA